AACTCCTCTCAAACAATGATAGGTCTCTTCGAGAAACCCATTTTAAAATATTGTGTTATATCCCTCACAATTTCGTACTTTCCAATAACATAAAAATTTGTTTGTATCCCGCTATTTTTATCCTTTTCTGGTGTAAGGACTTCTCGCCCTTATACATTATGCTCCCGACCTGGATTGTCCCAGCAGCTCCAAACAAACTCCACTACACTGGGTCCCACAGTTTCCCAACATCGCTGGTAGAAAAGCGGGTTGAGACCATCCTTTCCCGGAGCTTTCAGCGACCCCATTGCCAGGATAGCTTGCAGCACCTCCTCCGCTGCAAAGTTTACTACAAGCGCCTCCCAAGCATTACCCTCGAGGACAGGGAAGTTGGCTATGAGAACCCCTCTGTTGGACTGCTCATCTAAGTACATTCCTGCAAAATGGGAACAAGCCAACGTTAGAAGCTAGTCTGGCTCCTCTATCCACTCTCCATCTCCTCCGCGCAGCGCCATAATTCTATTCCTCTTCCTTCGCCGGACTACGCGAGCATGAAAGTCTTTTGTGTTTCGGTTACCCAAGATTTTCCACTCCTTCGTTTCCTTCTGTCGCCATAATAAATCTTCCTGAACTAGGACTTCTTCAAGTTCCCTCCTTGTTGTTGCTAGTGTTGCCAAATCTATGTCACCACCATGTATTTCTTCCAATCTCTCAATTCGGGCCATCAGAGAGTTTTTTTCTTGAGTATGTGTCCGAAAGTCTCCCAATTCCATTTGCTTGCTGCTCTCGAGAATTCTTTGGTAGAGTTGACAAAACCCACTTCCCGTCCCCACGCTTCCTTAACCAAAGCCAGAAACTTGAAAGGCTTCGGTCCAGCAGGTTGGAAGAAGGGACTAACTTTAATAAGGATGGGTCTATGATCCGACTTGATTCGGGGGAGATGTCTCTCAACCGTGTCCGGGAATGCCGCTGTCCAAGAGTAATTTGTGAGTCCCCGATCCAGCCTCTCCCTCACTCCGGCTCAAAACCACTTAAATTGTGGCCCTGAGTGACCTAGATCCATTAGTTTTGTGTCGAGTACACAGTCGATAACTGCACCTCCCATCTTCTCTTACGCTTGTAATATCACATTAAAATCACCTGCTAGCAGCCAAGGTTGTACTTGAGTTGCCACAATGCCTCTAATGGTGTCTCATAATTCCCTCCGTTGGACAAGTGCCGGATTTCCATAGACTGCCGTAAAATTCCATTGTTGTCCCCATATAGAACATCCACATGTAAGGATTGGGTTATTTTATTACGCTCTGTTACTGCTACGACTAAAGAATCCCAGAGCAGCCAGATCCCTCCCGAGAATCCTTTGGCATCCACCATTAAATTCTCATTGTACCCCATGTTGTTGATCACAACATCGGCTCTATCACCACTTATTCTTGGCTCAACGATGGCCACTATCTTAGGCTGATATTTCCTCTTATACTCTTTAAACACACGAAGGAAGCGATCGCTTGCTGCTCCCCTGCAATTCCAAGCAAATATGTTTAGATCCATCGACTTGGAGTTGGGGTTGCGCGAGCTGCGCTATGGGTTTATCACGGGGGTTTTCAACGACCCCCCTTTGCCACCAGCTATTTCGAGTATGGTGTACTCTGCCTGTTCTACTAGGTTTCTCGTTTCAGGCGCATTCCCCGAGCTAGGGCTTCTATCCACTTGATTAGTCCCCCCTCCCATATCGATGTGGCGGTAGTGGGACTGTTGGGGGTCTTCAAAGTTGGAGCTCCGGATTCATTATGCTTTTGCGTTGCATGGGAGTCTTATGCATTTGGAAGGATTTTTGTACCCGCACCTTCTCCCTCTGGTTCTACTTGGTCTTCCAATCTCTTCTCATTGTTATCCTTATTAACTTGGTGAGGCGAAGTGGGCGCTATAGGCTGTGTGGTGCTAGCATTAATAGTGTCAGTCTCCTTCTCCTTCCCCTTCGAGGCACCCTGCTTCTCTACCCAAATTTGCTTGTCCTTTGTCGATACGGATTTACTCGCCTGCTTTTGATTTCTCGGCTGGGCATCACTGTATATTGGAGACCGTCTTCCCTCCATGCTAGAAATCCCGGGTTGTTGTTTTCGTGGCTGCTCTCCCGAATCCTCCATCCCCTCTTCCCCAGTACCACGTATCGAGACCCTGAGTATGCATGCTTCCTTTGCATCACTTCCTGTCCAGCTCTTGCCCCTCGGGCGCCATTCTCCACATTCCTAGGGCGATGTTGTCTTCTGGTCGCCACCATCCATTCCCCATAAGGTCCTTAGTGCTTCGGCTTAGGATCCTACTGCTCTTCTTCGCAATCCTTCTCAAGTTGGTGGAGTGAAGGGCACTTAGGTTTCTGATGACCATACTTCCCGCACTCAAAACAAATGTTTGTCAACCCCTCCCATTGAATGTCATATTCCTTGCCCAATATACTGAATTGGGATAGAAGGGGCTTGGTTAAATCAGCTTCCACGCACACTCGCGCATACTTTCCTCTCGCTCCTAGTTCAGTAGCTCGATCCAGTCTCACTGGCTTTCCCGCATAAGAAGCAATCCTCAGTACTGCCTCTGGGTGGTAAAACTCAATGGGAAGCTCATGCAGTTGCATCCATGCTAGAGTTGTTACTATTTCAGTTGTTTTCGGATCAAAACCTTCCTTCCACTGTTGTGTAGTAATATAGTGATCTCCTAGCACCCACGACCCCCCCTGTGAGAGCATGTTCGTTGTCTTGCTTACATGAAAACCGGACAAAATAGCAGCCATAAGATCTGTTAGTCACTTGTATAACTCATTTTTTGCCCATAGCATGTTCAATCTTCGCACGACCACTGGGTACGAGAACGTACGACCCAGTACCTTCACTATAATTGCTGAGCGCCATTCACGTCTATACTTTCGTAGTTCCATGGCGGAGAACAGGATAGAAGGGAAGATAGGGTTCACTGTCACCGTATCCATCTCATCATCATTGTCTTCCCGGATGGCTTCCGCCACATCTTCTGAATCAGATTCCGCTACGTACCATTCTGTCTCTTTTAGGGTTTTGATAAATAGTTTTTTCCTTCCCACTCCCCAAGCCATCGAGGGTTGTGAATATGGTTGAGTCGGGGAGGTCGGAGCGGACGGCGATCCCATATGGGATTTGTCTGCACTGCTAACATCGGCAAGCTCTTCCTCCGTAATGTCTTCAATGATCACATCCTCCACATTCATCGCTTCATGCTCCAGGTTAATAGGGTGGACTCGTATTTTAGGATGTTGTACCTCCTTCTCTTTCTTGCCATCAGGAGAAGACGTCACCTCCGGCGGACGGCGTTGGCCCGCTGTTGGATCAGGGGGCTTGGCTTCCGCCTCGCCAGAGGGGCCCGTCGGCGTAGCTGCCAGCGGCATGATACGAACGACGCTAACACAAAACCCTAGCTACGATTTCCCGGCTCCGCAAAGATCGGAGCAAAAACCCTCTTCAAAACTTTTCACTCCAATGAATTCTATTTAGGATAGTGTTAAACTATACACGAACATGCCATAACCATACAATTTTACTTCATAGCCACATTTGGATGCAGGTTTTGGGTGTGGGATTTGGGCACAATCCTACATAATGTTGGATTTTATTAAAATCACTCGTTTGGAAAGCAATTATATGATAAGAGATTTTAAATATTAGAGATTTCAGGAACCCACAATTGTGGGATTATGAAATAGCTGATGTTGATCAGCTATTTTGAAATTCCACACAAATTCCACAAATTAAAAACCTGGGTTTTTAAACCAGTGATTTGAGCCAAAATCCCACAAATTAAAAACCTGGATCCAAATGACCCCTATAGGAAAAGAAATCCGAGGAATTTTACATTGAAAGTATTTGTATTTATTTTATTTGTTTTACATTGCGACTTGAAATTGTATATTTAATGTTATGGTACAAGTTCAGCTTGTGTCTATACTATTTTGTATAAATATTTTTATAGTACAAACTAAAGTTGTACTTTTATGTTATGGTACAATTTGAACTTATTCTGTAACGTAAATATACAAATTCACTTATGGTATAACTTCAATTTGTACATTTAACATTATTGTACAACTTTAAGTTATACTTTAAAACATAGTAGAAGCGCTCAAGAAATCCAACCAAATTGATAAACATATAGTATGAGATTATGATTAATCATGAACAGTGAGTGATGAGCTTTTTATTTTTACTATTTTTCTTATCTTTTTTCGTTCGAACTTGGATTCCAAAACTTTTTGCAAAAACGGAATGAATTCGTTATGATTTACAAAATGAGATTCATTTTCAATACATTTTGAGATAAAAAATTTATACCACTCATTACCACCTTGGTTTATAACTCGAATTACAACAAATCTTGCACAGAAGGAACGAGTTCATTGTGAACTATCAAATCTACAAATTTCGAGGGGAAAATTTTATAGCCAAATATACCACCCTGCTATAGAGTGATAATTTGTGGTAGACAATTATAAAATGTGGTAAATAACAATTAATATATTCATACTGTCATGTATACAACCATTCTAAACTATATTTAAACGGTAATATATCAAAATATAAGTGGATGTCATTTTGAACAATTGAATTTTTTGTGTAAAAGTGGAAAGTCAATCAGAAATTTTTATAACTTTATATGATTTATTTTACTTGAGCAAATTATTGTGGAGACGAAAGCAGCTCAAAGCAAGCCCAAAATCGAGAAGTCTCCATTTTGTTTGGAATCCAAGATCCATCGGCCCACCACAGTATTCGAAGCTCCAAATCACCCAAATTTGGCCACATAAGCTATAATAAATCCAAAATCTTCCACTTGTGTTGTGTGGCCGTTATGAATTCTTCACTTGCTCCATCTCATTCTATCCTCTTTTCTCTTTCACGCACTCCCAAACAAGAAGCACTTAGCCCATCTATCTATAAATTAAATTCGCCCACCCTTAAGCATACTCCAAGCCATCACCATTCTGAATTCTGGGACACTCCAAAACAGAACGCTGCTTTCACCATCTTGCCATTTTCGGCTTCCTTCCGTACTTGCTCCCTCCCTATCAGCCTTTGGCACTTTGCTTGCTGGGCTTAGAAAACAACATTATGGCTGCTTCTACCGCATCTGTCTCTACCGTCGGATCAGTCAACAGATCATTAATGGTAAGCCCCTGTTTTCTCGCGCGTTCTTTCGTTCTCTCTCTCGGCTGGTGTTTTCCTTCCTTTCTTGGTTTCTTTGGTATTGCCTTGGCACCCAAATTCCACCGATCTCCATTTTAGTTGAGTTTTTTTCTTTCTTTTTTGGAACGATAAACATTAATTAAGTTATAATATAAAAGTTAGTTTATGCTTGATTTACTATTGATGAATTTTACTTGTTTTCTTGAGGAACTTTGCCTAGTTTATTCCTTAGAAATCACCATCGTGTTAGCTCTTGTCGAACCTACCCAAGAATCTTCGAGGACGTATTCATTGTTTCCATCGTCCCACGTTGATTTTACTTGAGAAAATTATTGTGGAGATGGAAGGAAGTTAAAGCCCAACCTCAAAGCAAACCCAAAACTGAGAAGTCTCTCGATTTTGTTTGGCACCCAAGATCCATCGGCCCACCACCACAGCATTCGAAGCTCCACGTCACCCAAATTTCGCTACCTAATACGTCCGAAATCCTGCAATTGTGTGGCCGTTATGAAGTCTTCCCTTGCTCTCATTCTATCCTCTCTCTTTCACGCACTCCCAAACAAGAAGCAGTTTCCCCATCTATAAATTCCCATACTCCAAGCCATCGCCATCCTCAATTCTGGGACACTTCAAAACAGTAGGCTGCTTTCACCATCCTGCCATTTCCGGCTTCGTTCCGTCGTTGCTCCCTTTGGCACTTTGCAGGCTTTTCAAAACAGCGTTATGGCTGCTTCTACTACATCTCTCTCTACCGTCGGATCAGTCAGCAGATCATTAAAGGTAACCCCCTGCTTTTCCCCCGCGTTCTCTGCTTTCGGCTCCTGCTCTCCTTCTTTTCTTTCTTTGGTATTTGCCTTGGCTGCCAAATTGCACCAGTCTTCGTTTAAGTTAAGGTTTTGTCTTTTTGGACTGATAGACTATTAAGTTAATAGCATAAAAGGTGTACTTTTCCGATCTATTGACTATCAAAATTGTGTTGTTTTTCTACTTGCGAAATTCTGGCCAGTTAATTCCATAGAAAATTACCATCGCTTTAGCTATTGTCGAACCAATCAAAGAATCTAAGGAGGATGTATTCATTGTTTTCATCGTCCCCCGTTCAATAAACTTGGCTTTCATAGTAGTACGTCGACTAAGTTTAACTCTGAGAGATGGGATTTGTGATTCCCCTGCGATCTTGTGATTTGCAGTTGAACTTGAACGGTTGTAATGGAGCTGGACCATCAGCGACGCCAACTTCTACCTTCTTGGGGAACACCTTGAAGAGCAAGCTAAGCTCCAAGGCCCCAAAATCGCGCGGAAGTTTGAGGGTTTGGGCAGAGTACGATGAGAAGAAGCAGACGCACAAGGACAGATGGAAGGGACTCGTGACCGACATGTCGGATGATCAACAGGACATTACGAGAGGGAAAGGAATGGTGGACTCCCTCTTCCAAGCTCCCATGGGTACAGGGACCCATAATCCCATCATGACCTCCTACGACTACATCAGCAAAGGCCTCCGCCAGTACGACTTCCCCACTAACTCATAGCCCATAGCCAGTCAATCATCTTGCCCAGTTGCTCTGTTTCTAATCATATGCTCTGTTTTACTCTGTTTCTCAGGTTTGACTTGGACAATAGCATGGACGGCCTCTACATTGCTCCCGCGTTTATGGACAAGGTTGTGGTTCACATCACCAAGAACTTCTTGGCTCTTCCCAACATTAAGGTTTGTACTTCTCACACTAGTTAGTATGTAAAAAATCTTATCTGGGGAAGAGAAGACTCATCTATTAATCAAAACTTGATGACAGGTTCCGCTGATCTTGGGTATTTGGGGAGGCAAAGGCCAAGGGAAGTCGTTCCAGTGTGAGCTCGTCTTCAAGAAAATGGGAATCAAGTGAGTCTCACTTTTCCAATTTTAATTAATTAATTATTACTTGAGCAACCCAATTTGGGCTGAAACCGAGTTCATGAATGAATTCAGCCCCATTATGATGAGCGCTGGAGAATTGGAGAGCGGGAACGCTGGGGAACCGGCGAAACTGATCCGGCAGAGGTACCGCGAAGCCGCCGACATAATCAGGAAAGGCAAAATGTGTTGTCTGTTCATCAACGACCTGGATGCAGGAGCTGGACGGATGGGAGGGACGACCCAGTACACGGTGAACAACCAGATGGTGAACGCCACCCTGATGAACATAGCCGACAACCCCACCAACGTCCAGCTCCCTGGGCAGTACAACAAGGAGGAAAACCCTCGAGTCCCCATCGTCGTCACCGGGAACGACTTCTCCACTCTGTACGCGCCCCTAATTCGCGACGGCCGCATGGACAAGTTCTACTGGGCGCCCACCAGGGAGGACCGGATTGGAGTGTGCAGCGGCATCTTCCTCACCGATAACGTGCCCATGGATGACATTGTTCGGCTGGTGGACACGTTCCCCGGCCAGTCCATTGGTAATATATCACATTCATTCTTGGATTTCTCTCCAGTTATTAATCATGTTTCTTGACATTTTTTGGTGCATGGGAATAGATTTCTTCGGGGCGTTGAGGGCTAGGGTGTACGACGATGAGGTGAGGAAGTGGATCGGTGGGATTGGTGTGGAGAACATCGGGAGGAGGCTGGTGAACTCCAAGGAAGCGCCTCCCACGTTCGAGCAGCCCAAGATGACGCTGGCCAAGCTGCTCGAGTACGGCAACATGCTGGTGCAGGAGCAGGAGAACGTCAAGAGAGTTCAGCTGGCTGACAAGTACCTGAAAGAGGCAGCGCTTGGTGATGCTAATCAGGATTCCATCAACAATGGAACTTTCTATGGTCAGTAGTTACCTTACCTAGCTGGTTTAAGGCAATTGATTGCTTTCCACAAAGATGTGAATCGTGAGAAATAAGCAAGGAGGGGCATTGTAATGCATGTGTTGGGTTTTGGTTGCAGGGAAAGCAGCTCAGCAAGTGAACCTCCCTGTTCCGGAAGGCTGCACCGATCCTTCTGCCCACAACTTCGACCCCACGGCTAGGAGCGATGATGGGAGCTGTGTTTATCAGTTTTAAGGTCTGTGCATCAGTAAGTAAACACAAAACAAACAGTAAATGACGGGGGAATAATCAGTATTCACTATCCAGTAATCATTTCGGAGGTAATGGTGAATTTGGGATATATGGAAATAAGGAATTGTATAAAGGCATATATATATAAATATAATAATATTGGACAAAATTAAAGTAAATGATGATACTTTCTTTTGCTCTTGTGGACTCCTCTGTTTAGTGCAACAGAATAGTGGATGTTGCTGAGCCTGTGGGCGTCAAGATCCAACCAAGTTACGCCATAATAAACAAACTCTTGAAACTGAAGATAATCTACCCATCATCCACTTGCAGCCATTATTGTGGGAGGAGCAGGAGCTCGTTGGAGATTAGGATTCGGTTAGCAGCATGGGCCGTACTACATCCAAACCGGTCTTCAACTTTCACACACTACTCAAATCCCCACCAACAATCGATTGGCCGACGAAACTGAACGAGCTGAAGTAGTTTTGTGGTTCCATGAATCTACTTTTCTCTCACAACATTCGTACAAACAAAAGCAGAATTTGCCTTTCCGCTGCATAAACGACACTTTCTTTAATCTTTGTAACAACCCATGTGCCTTAAAATTGATTCTCCATGCTTTTGCCTGGAAAGCCCATTGTCTCTCCTAGGGATGGAAATGGGTAGGGTCGGGTGCGGGTTTACCCTATACCAACTCCTAACCCGCCGGGTAGAGCCTTCTAAAATACCCGACCAAATAACTACCGGGTATGAAAATTATATAACCATACCCTACCCACCGGGTAATCACGGGTATTCGGGTAACCATGGATACGAATCCTAAACTATGAACTTATACACATATATGCACATACATATTGTTGTCCATTAAAAAATCTTAATACTTCTAATTGTTCTAGCTTCAACAATCCACACAAATAAAAACAACAAAAACATAATAATTGTTCTTGCTTCTATAATCCACACAAACATAATAATCGTCTACATCTTCATCATCAATAATGGTAGCTAAACTAAATTTCTCAAGGGAAATTAATCTTTTGGTTAGCGGGGCAGGTATAACGGGGCGGGTATTATCGATTACCATACCCGTACCCTACCCTTTATTTTGAAACCGGGTATTACCCGTACCCACCCCTTAACCCGTCAAATCGGGTAATTACCCTCGTTGACCGGTTACGGTCGGGTAGGGTACCCATGGTTACGGGTTGGATTGACATCCCTAGTCTCTCCTTCCCCACCACTCCCCCAGGCCGCCTTCATCTCTATTATTCAACCAATAATACAAGCTTTATTTGGATGGAGTAAAAGCCGTTTCTCATAATATTAAAGAGAGGAAAGAACACCCTATTCAATGGGCGATAGAGAGCAAGTCGACGGTGGGGAGAGGGCAAGATTTGTCGAGGTAGGAAAGGCTCTGTCCACCAGCTCTTACCTTCCCTTAGCAAGTTGAAAGGCTGCAGGACTCTTTCCCATGTATCCCCTCATTACTGGAGTAAGTTTATCATATATGAGTCCGAAGGGAGAAGGGAGAGGTTATGCAATATACTCGGCTGAAGGGAGGGAGAGGAAGAAAATCCTTTGGAGGGGCGTTATAACGCGGCAGCAAGTTCGTTTTTGTGAAATAAAAATAGGGTATGAGGAGAATGTGATTCACCGCGATGTGAAAGCCAGCAATGTCTTAATAGACGCGGAGATGAACGCGAAACTGGGGGATTTCGAACTGGCGAGGCTTCACGATCGCGGATCGAATCCGGGGACGACGAGGGTTGTGGGAACGTTGGGGTACTTCGCACCTGAGCTGACGCGGACGGGGAAGGCGACGGTGGGGTCGGACGTCTATGCCTTCGGGGCCCTTCTGCTGGAGGTGGTGTGCGGGCGGCGACCGATGGAGCCTAAAGCGGCGCTGGAGGAGTTGGTGCTGGTGGATTTGGTGTGGGAGTGGGTGAGGGATGAAAGGATTGGGGGAATTGTGGATCACAGGCTGAATGGGGACAACAACGAGAAGGAGGCGGCGACGGTGCTGACATTGGGGATTATGTGCTCGAGCAATATGGCGGCGGCCGGAGGCGCGACCTTGTATTAGGGAAGTGGTGAGGTATTTGAATGGAGAGTGTTGATGTGACTTGAATCAGACTATCAGCCGCTACAACTGGTAATCGGGGGTCTCGCTGTTATTTGGGTTCGGGTTCTAGGCCTGGTCTGTAACCGTTTCCTTTGGCAGATTGGATTAGGTTTAGACCCACATGGAGAAGTACTATAAATACTTCTCATACTCCTCTGTAATCCGTAATCTCCTTGATATAGTGAAATCGGCTCTCTCTCGCCCGTGGACGTAGCTAACACACATCGTGTTAGTGAACCACGTAAATCGTGTGTCGTGTTTTTTTTATTCTCGCTTTCGTATTCTTGCTTTGTCGATTCCGGCGATTTCCCGATCCGTAGCAGCGCGTTTATAACAAGTGGTATCAGAGCCGCGGCTGGAAATCAGGCTAGGGTTTTCGATTTAGAAGAATGACGTCGGTGAACATGAAGATCGAAAAGTTCACGGGGAAGAACAGCTTCGCTATATGGCAGATCAAGATGCAGGCTTTATTAAAACAACAAGGGTTGTGGGGGCCGCTGTCTGCGAAACAGAAGAAGGCAGCAGTCGATGACGATGAGTGGAATACCCTGGAGAAGAAAGCCCACTCGACCATCATGCTACCGTTGTCTGATGACGTCATCATTGAAGTCGCTGCTGAGAAGACTGCCGCGGGCTTGTGGTTAAAGTTGGAGAGTCTGTATATGACGAAGTCCTTAACCAACAAGCTGCATCTCAAGCAACGGTTATTCAGCTTGAGGATGCAAGAAGGTACGCCTTTGAGGGAACATCTCGAACAGCTTAACTCTATTTTGCTGGATCTGCGTAATATAGATGTTCAAGTTGATGACGAGGATGCTGCCCTAATCCTGCTGGTTTCTTTGCCGAGTTCATATGAGAATTTCATTGATTCTTTTATTGCTGGTAAAGAAAGCGTGTCGTTGGAGGATGTCAGGTCTGCTTTTCATACGAGAGAGATCAGACATAAGGCGTCCGGATCTGGTACAGTTGGTGAGGCATCGGGTTTGGCTGTTATAGGTGGAAAGGGAAAGAAGAAATCTGGTAAAGGGAATTCGAGCAAGAATTCCAAGGGTCCCGGTCCACAGCCAGGTGATGCTTGTCACAACTGTAAGGAAGTGGGGCATTGGAAATACAACTGTCCCAAGAGAAGAGGGCAACAGAAGAAACAAGGTTCAGTTGCCGTGGCAGAAGTGGACAACAGTTCTGAAGACGATCTCGCCTTGGCTGTAGATGAGAAGGCACATCGTGGTGATGTGTGGTTTCTGGATACTGCAGCCTCATATCATATGTCTCCGAACAGGGATTGCTTCACAACCTACGAGCAGATAGATGGTGGTAACGTGGTCATGGCTAATGGAGCTGTCTGCAAGGTTGTTGGATTCGGGTCCATAAAGGTTCGGACACATGATGGTTCATTCTGTACCGTGAATGATGTCAGGCATGTTCCACGAATGACAAAGAACCTAATCTCCTTGAGTCTACTCGACAGCAAGGGTTTCAGCTTCAAAGGAAAAGGTGGAGTTGTGTATGTCTGCAAAGGTTCAAGGAAGGTGCTGAAGGGCGTGAAGCGTGGGACCTTGTATGCATTACAAGGGTCTGTGTTGTCTGGTTCTGCTGCAGTTGCATCGTCTCAAGTTCAACCGGAAGATATGACCACTCTCTGGCACATGAGATTGGGGCATATGAGTGAACGGGGGATGCAAGTTCTATCGAAGAGGGATCTTCTTTGCGGGCACAAGGTGCAGAATTTGGAATTCTGTGAGCATTGTGTGTTTGGGAAGCTACATCGCAGCAAGTTTCCCAAGAAGGGTATCCACCGGACGAAGGGGATACTGGATTACCTCCACTCCGACTGTTGGGGTCCTTCACGAGTTGAATCCATTGGAGGCAGCAGGTATTTTCTGTCTATTATTGATGATTATTCGAGATTTACTTGGATTTTCATGATGAAGCAGAAAAGTGAGGCTTTCACGAAGTTCAAGCAGTGGAAGACATTGGTGGAGAATCAGACCGGGAAGAAGATCAAGAAGCTGCGAACGGACAATGGTCTGGAGTTCTACAGTTCTGAGTTCAACAAATTCTGCAAGGATGAAGGGATTGCCCGTCATCGGACTGTTAGAGATACACCCGAGCAGAATGGCGTTGCATAAAGGATGAACCAGACATTGTTGGAGAGAGCACGGTGCATGCTCTCTAATGCTGGACTAGAGAGAAGATTCTGGGCAGAAGCAGTAAACATGGCGTGCTTCTTGATCAACCGTGGACCACACACAGGTATCGAGTGTAAGACTCCTTATGAAATGTGGTATGGTAAGTCTGCTGATTACTCTTCACTGAAAGTTTTTGGGTGTCCTGTTTATTATCACGTGGATGAGGGTAAACTAAACCCGAGGGCAAAGAAGGGTATATTTGTGGTTTACGGAGATGGAGTTAAGGGATTTCGAGTCTGGTCACCTTCTGAGCATCGAGTTATACTTAGTAGAAATGTGATATTTGATGAGAAGTCTATGTTTAACCCCATGTTGAAGGTTACTGTTGCTGAAGGTAGCAGGAATGTTGATAAGCAGGTGGAGCTGCAAACTCTCAATGAGAGTGAGTTTGAGCACCAAGGTGGAGAAGATCAACATGATGAGGATGTCTCTGCAGAGCCAGAAACTTCAGAGTCCAGTGCACGAGCTAAACAGTCTATTGCTTTCGGTAGACCGAAGAGAGCGACTGCAGGAGTACCTCCACAGAGGTATGGCTTCGAGGACATGGTGGCGTATTCATTTCAGGTTGCTGAGGAAGTGGATGCAGGAGAGCCACAGTCCTATCGAGAAGCAGTTTCGGGTGGTGAAGCTGATCAGTGGCTTGCCGCAATGGGAGATGAGATGGAATCCCATGACAGGAATCAGACTTGGGAGCTAGTCAAACGACCACAGGGAAGGAAGATTGTTACAAACAAGTGGATCTACAAGAAGAAGGAAGGAATCACTTCTAAAGAGGGCATGAAATTTAAAGCTCGGGTGGTTGCACGTGGCTTCTCGCAGAGAGAAGGAGTTAACTACAATGAGATTTTCTCACCAGTGGTCAGACATACTTCGATCAGAGTGCTACTAGCAATAGTGGCACATTATGACTAGGAGCTCGAGCATCTAGACGTGAAGACAGCTTTCCTACATGGAGAGTTGGAGGAAGAAATTTACATGACTCAGCCAGAAGGATTCGAGGTTCCGGGAAAAGAAGACTATGTTTGTAAGCTGAAGAAGTCCTTGTATGGACTTAAGCAATCTCCGAGGTAGTGGTACAAGAGATTTGACAGTTACATGCTTGAGCTGGGCTACAGCAGAAGTCCATATGATTGTTGTGTATATCACAGCAAGGCAGAGGATGGTTCGATGATATATCTAGTTCTGTATGTGGATGATATGCTCATAGCTATGAGGTCAAAGACTGATATCCAGAAGTTAAAGGGGCTTCTCAGTGCTGAGTTTGAGATGAAGGATTTGGGAGCTGCTCAGAAGATTTTGGGTATGGAGATTTACAGGGACAGGTCGAAGAAGAAGCTTTTCTTGTCACAGAAGAGCTACATCCAGAAGATATTGTCGAGGTTTGGCATGTCTTCAGCAAAGCCCTTAAATACTCCTAGTGCTTCAAATGTTCATCTATCCTCAGCTTATGCACCACAGTCAGAGGCTGAGAAGGAGTACATGTCGAGAGTCCCATATGCTAGTGCAGTAGGTAGCTTGATGTACGCTATGGTATGCACTAGACCGGATCTTGCACATGCTGTTAGTGTTGTCAGCAGGTTTATGATACAACCTGGGAAGGAGCATTGGCAGGCTGTGAAGAGGATCTTCCGGTACCTTAAGGGTACACGTGATGTGGGGATTAGCTTCGGAAGTGATACAGAGTGCTTGGTGTCTGGGTATTCTGACTCGGACTATGCTGGAGATGTTGACACGAGGAGATCGATGACCGATTATGTATTCACTCTTGGGAGTTCTGTAGTGAGCTGGAAGGCAACTCTGCAGTACGCGGTGACATTGTCTACTACTGAGGTAGAGTATATGGCGTTGACAGAAGCTGCTAAGGAGGGAATATGGTTGAAAGGACTGGTTGGTGATCTGGGTCTACATCATGATCAGGCAGTGGTGTATTGCGACAGTTTGAGTGCAATATGCTTGGACAAGGATCAAGTCCACCATGAGAGGACTACGCACATTGATGTGAGGTATCATTTCTTGAGGACAGAGAAGAGGATTAAGGTGAAGAAGGTTGGCACCGCGGATAATCCTGCTGATATGTTCACGAAGCCGGTTCCACATGGCAAGTTCCAACACTGCTTGGACTTGCTGAATGTCTTGAGTGGGTGACTCCGCCCTACGGGGCATTGATGGCGGGAGAGAGAGAGAAGGAGCAGAGTACATCAGAGATTTCAGAGGAAGAGGATTCAAGTCAAGGTGGAGATTTGTTGATGTGACTTGAATCAGACTATCAGCCGGTACGACTGGTAATCGGGGGTCTCGCTGTAACCGTTTCCTTTGGCAGATTGGATTAGGTTTAGACCCACATGGAGAAGTACTATAAATACTTCTCATACTCCTCTGTAATCTGTAATCTCCTTGATATAGTGAAATCGGCTCTCTCTCGCCCGTGGACGTAGCTAACACACATCGTGTTAGTGAACCACGTAAATCGTGTGTCGTGTTTTTTTTTATTCTCGCTTTCGTATTCTTGCTTTGTCGATTCCGGCGATTTCCCGATCCGTAGCAGCACGTTTATAACAGAGAGATTGATTTGCCGGAGAGTTTGGCTGTCACGGCCGGCGGGTATGGCGGAAACGGCGGTGGCGTCGGTGAAGGGTTCGATGGCCACTTAGATTTGTTGCAGACTACGGCGCTGTATGGGTTTATGAGTTCCTCAAATTCGTTGATGGGGAATGGGGGCGGTGGTGCTAGTTTTGCATCTCTTTCCACTTCAACACTTCCGCAGCAACGAGTAAATGGAGACTAGAGAACACCGGTAGGGTTTTAGGATTTTATTTCTAATTTTTAATCATATCATTTTTCGGGGTGATGAGCATTTCAACCAGTACACCTTATTTGGTTAATTTTTTTGTTAAATTTGATTTTGTTCAGCTGATTTAATTATTAGTATGTGTTTGATTACCAAAAAAAATATTAGGATGTGTTTAGACATGACAAATGGGGTGGATTTTTTAAACTACTATTCACATTCTTATCTTTGTTCTCAAATATATAAATTTATATCTGCTTTCTGTCCATGTGTGAGCTTTCTGTCCATGTGTGAGGAGATTTTGTAACTTAATCTCAATACCCGTAATTTTCTGGCACCTGTGGACAGTGGCGGAGCCTGAAAATTGTCCAACGAGATGTCTTTTTCATATCATAAAAAAAATTAGCTATATAAAAAAAAACTTGACCTCTAAATGAAATAAAAAGTCAACAACACAATACTCAAAATTCATATAATTACAAAAATAGTAGTTTGACGCACACTGTTTACACCGAACTGCAAAGATATTTCATATCTTAAAGCATTCTAGAAATCATTTTTTGTCCAAACTAGCACACAAATCTTGTTCAATATATGTCATCAACGTGTCGTTTCTTATGGCCTTGGCAATGTCGGGCTTTACTTGCTCGTGTCTCGACCATTCTCGTTTTGGCTCCGTGGGTGAAAGTGATGTTTGTTCCTCGACGTCACAATCTGCTAGCCGATTGTGTTGCTCGTAATGCTAGATTAGATGCTCTCCCACGAGATTGGATCATTTTTGCTGATCTCCTTTCACCACTGCTGTAATCAATTGTACTTCCACTGCTTCGATTTGGAATAAAAGTGCCCCAATTTGTCAAAAAAAAACGTGTCGTTCAACCACTAATCATTCATCTGGTTTAAAAAATAATGCTTCATATATTTCATTGACGAAAATTATATCTTGACACTTGTAATTGGCCGGATTGGAGACGACGTGGCTTGGACGAGTGCGGCAGTGGAAATCCGGCGAACTATTGGCCAAAGTTGGAGACTAAGGGGCTTGGACGAAGCAGAGGATGTCGACTCGTCCTCTCTACTGTGAATATCAGCGATAGTGGCAAAGAACAAGAAATAAAATGCTAGTGTCCTAGAGATTGTGGGACGTAAAAGGAGGTTTCAGTACAATTCTCTAATATAATTCATGTTGCAGAACAAATTTACTTGGCCGAGAGGACAATGAAGTCTATAATCAAATAATCACTAATTTGAGCCCACACAAATCCCTTATTGCTGAAATTATTTCCAAGCACAGGGGGTGCAACAGTGCAAGCACCCCCACCTCCCCCACATAGCTCCGCCACTGCCTGTGCATAATATCCGTCCCAAGGGTAGAAATTAGTTCTCCTTAGGTTAACCACTAACCAAATTGATGGCTAGTGGTTAACCACTAAACAAAAAATACATATAAAAAATTGACTCGTATGCAGTAACAGGGTTGTTAATCGGTTGTCGGTTTATCGATTAACCCGAAAACCTAAAATCACGGTTAGTCGATGAACCAAAAACCTTTAAGAATGCATCGGTGTCGAGGTCGGTTGGATGATTTGGGGTTTTAGGCTAACCACCAACCGATGGTCATTAACCGACAAGTCGGTGAACCGACAACTAACCTCTAATCACTTAAAAACGGGGTCCCCATTCCCGTCCATTTCCAAAACAACATCTCAATCACTTTGAAACATCAACCCCATCCCCTCCAATTCTCCCACCCCATTCCCACGAACCATAAACATCGAATTCCCATATCTAATTGTTGCTCCAAAAACCCACCACCACCTCCCTTTCCCCACGCACCAACGCGCATCCGAGTTTCACCTCGACGAAACCCATGTTGCCTCCGATGACCAACGCTGCTCCGCCTTCTTCCCCCATCTAATCTGGCAGCGGTGGAGATGCGAGAGTGGAGAAAAAAGGGCTTTGCCAGCAGGACAATCAAATCCTCTCCGGCATCGAGGATCAATTAACCGACCACCATGCATGTCCTCCGCCGATGGACCCCTACCGAAGTTGTCGCCTCTGCCGATAAGAAAGCGATGACGTCAAGATCCAGCCACTTTTGGTTTCGCTCTAAGGAAAATGAGAGAAGGTAGACCAATGAAAATAGATGGCAGCATTCAGAGCGGAGGAAGAAGTCGACGGGAATTGATGATTTTCTTGGAATTTTGGTTAGGTCAGAGGGTGGCAGAGAGAGCTTGCGATAGAAATCGAGAGGTTAGAGAGAGGGTTTTTCTTTTGGAGAGAGAATAGGGTAGCAGAGAATGAGATGGGGAGAAGGATCAAGAATTCTGGAGGGTTGGAATTAATATTTCATATTTTTTTATAATTTTTTTGGCTGATAGTTAACCGACCAACCCAACCGACACCGACGGTTAGCGGTTTCGGCTAACCGACTGAGCAATCGGTTGCGGTTGACTGTTTTGACATCTGATAGGTGTCGGCTAACCAACCCGTCGGTTCGGTTTAACCGCAACCAAATTGATTATCACCCCTATACACTAACGTAACTAGGATTTTATATAAGGTTGGTCCAAAGTTTTTTAAAATATCGCAAAAAAAAATTTATATCATTTGCAGTGCCCCCATTATGTTTTCATATTTTGAAAAACTTGCATTCATGTGATATCGAACTCCATATATCCTATAACATAATCATTCATGATTTTGTCACCCATTAGATCCCGAAGAGTGTTTTCACGTGCCTTTCAACACTTCTAGTGGAGTTATAGGTATCAAGAATTATAAGTTACTTTTTCAATGACCATGATTATAAAAAAAAAATCATTATTCTATAGTTTTCGACAATATCGATCTAGTCTATTTTCACATCAAAATATACATATAATAATGTAGTTGAGGTTAAAAACTTATATATTATTTTCGAGGTTAGAGGATGATGAGTGTTTATGCCTGGAATGTACCGGGCAGTTTGTGAGGCTTCACAGTCTCCGTGCGGTCTTGGGAGGATGAGAGGCGACCTTCGAAGTCCTGCAACAAAGGTCCTCAGGGGAGCCCTGGGACCTCCTCCGATGCCTAAGTTAGTGAGAGAAGTGGATAAAGTGAATAAGAGAGAGAGTGGAGTAGATAGAAGTTACCCCCAAATGTGTCCCATGAGTGGGTATTTATACTAGTGGATGTCGGAGTGGGGATAATTAATGCCCTGTCGGGCGTCCAAGGTCGCATAAGGACCTGTTCTCAGGAGGCTGTCAGGATCGTACCTTTGTCAGCCTTCGTACTGAGGTGTCAGACGAACTTTGTTCCCTAGTGTCGGGCGGTTACCTAGGGACCCGATCAGACGATGTCAGGCGGTTCTTCCTGGTCAGAGGCGCGGAAGACCGCCTTTGGACCACTGTCCGATGTATTTTCGGGCCCATCTGAGTTGGGCCTGCTCGCCTTTCTGGGCCTCTTGGTGTTTATGGGCTTGGTGGCCCATGTGTCTTAATGATTGGCCCAACATTTGCCCCTTAGGCGTGAGAGGCTTTGGGCTTTCGCGGCTAAACGATCATCTTGTCATCATTAAGCGGTCATATGGACGCCATACCCATGACAACCCGCCTGCCCCTGGACGCGAGGGTACGAAGCGGGAACGTCTGAGGGGCCACTAAGGACGCCCCCGGCTTTTGATTTCGGCGAATTGCCGCCACGTGTCGAACCTCGATTGTGGCGCCTTGACATGACTAGGCGAAAACGTCACTTCGGGTGGTTGGAGACCCGAAGTTTGCTTTAAGTAGCTCTAGGGGGGAGCTTTTTCACCATTGTGGTTTCCTCTTTTATGAATAGTTCGTCTTCTTCCCTCCCTTGTCTTGGAGGAACGCCGACTTTCTTCGCCGACGTTTGTCTATATAGTCTGAGCGCGGCGCCAGGTAAGATTTTGCCCCTTTCCTTCGCTTTTGTGCGGTTGTCTCTGTTCTTACTTTTTGCTCTCTTGTTCGTTTCGCGATTGGGCTCGTTGCTTTGACCTGGTGCCGGTTGCGCGAACTCATCCGGCGCAACGGTGACGTCGGCTTCTTGCTCGCCAGCCGATGTCGAGCGAGGCGAGGGCGCCTTCCCTTGTTGTGGGAAGCGATGGGGCGGCTGTCACGGCTGATGCCGCCGATCCCGGCCGCGCTCCCACCGTTGTTTTGGAGTCGAATCCGGTGGTTGCTGCTGCGCGGTCTCAGCCGCCTATCGTCGCGAAGAGGGTTGCGGGATCCTCTGTTGGGACCGCCGCTGCTGTGCAAGGTATGACCTGCTTTTCTCCCACTAGAACCGCCTCTGAGTGCGTGTGGGATTTATCCGAGCTAGAATTGTACGTTGTGAGTGGTTCTGAAGTGCGCGATTGCTTCTTCAGTCTCTCTTTAGACTTAGATGATTCTTTTGCTAACATCCGCCCTGTACCAGCTGGGGGTATGGCTACTTCGTCCGCGGTTGGGGATAACATGGGTGGTTTTGGGCGGGTAGATTTAGGTAGCATACCTTTGGATGAGGATGAAACGGTTGATAGTGAGGGCGTGCGATCTGAGGCGCATCCGAGTACATCGTCTTCTGTGGAGACATTGGACGCGGAAGATGGGGAACCGCTCACTCGTGTTATTGCGGATCCTGTTTATACTGTCTTGCGGCATGAAGGGATGTGGGAGGATCAGGCGGTTCCCTCTGGTGTACTGGAATTGGGACCGGCGTATACGGCGGGTTTTCAGCCTGAGCAGGTCCTCCACCGTCTGAAGTCGCTGACCCTCCCATCTGATTGGGTTTATGCGACCCCTTCGGAGGGCGGTCGCTCTGGGTCTTGTCCAACCGGATGGCTTCCTATCCATGTGGAGCAGGTCAAGTTGGGGTTGCGGTTTCCGTTGGACCCCATCCTTACTCAGGTGCTGCTCCGGCTTGGGTGCTCCTTGGGACGCCTGTCCCCGACGATAATCTTTCACTCGGTGATGTACCGTTGGGCCTGTGACCGCCTCAACGAGGAACCTTCCTTTGATGCTTTTCGCTTGCTGTATAAGATTCAGGATACGCCCAATTGTTGGTCGATCAGGAGGCGGGATGGCGCTGTAGGCCTTGTTACTGGGGCGCCGAAGTTGGATTCTCCTTGGTTCAGGGAGTACTTCTTCGCGCGTCCTTCCTGGAAGTGGTATTCGGGCGATGAGGAACCGCCGACGGGTTATGCGGTCGGCTCTAAGGAAGCGTGGTGTTCCTCTAGTCAGTTTCCACAGTCGGTGAAAGACCACGTAGGCCGCTTGGTAGAGGGATTCCAGCTGCGGGTGACGCGTAGCGGTCTTGAGAGCGCTTACCAGCATGTGCGCGGCTTCTATGGTTAGTAAAATCGTGTCGTATTGTTCTTTTTCGCGTCTTCTCATGTACGTTACTTATTCTTTTTTGTTTCAGGTCTGAAAGATTTGGCCAATGCGAACCGGCCAAAAGGGAAGAAGCGGGGGGCCGCTGTTGCAAAGACTGGTGCGCCCTCTTCTTCGACGGTAGCGGGGAAGACAGCTCCCGTGACCGCAGCAACGGTGGCCGCCTCTGCTGCCGCGTCCGTTGCTCCTACGATGGTGACCCGTGGTGCGGGGAAGAGGCCGCCAGGGACAGGTAGCCCCCAAGGAGCTGTGAAGCGTCCTAAAGTAACTCAGGGAAGAACTGGAGTGGCGCGGGGCAAGGCCGCTCGTCAAACTGACCAGTCTTACCCCATAAGTTTGCCCCCTCTCGCGGCGACCGACACCGAGGCGGCTGAGCTAGCGTTCCATACTGTGAGCGATCAGCTTGATATGCCATCGGAGTATACTGCGACCTCGCAGGGGTGCAACCGAAGACTCGCTGGGATTGCTTCTCAGTTCTTTTTCTCGGTGAGTTTTTGTATTTCGATTATTGGGACTTGTCATGAGACATGATTGACGTGGTCATGTTTTCCCTTTGCAGGCTCAGATTGGATTTTCGCAGATCGTTATGCTGAATGACCGCCTATCCAAGACCGTTGATGAGAATGTGGTTGAGATAGCCAAGTTGAAGAAGAATCTGGCTGAAGGGCGGTCGGCGTTGATAGGAGAGCTGCGACCCGTTTTGGAACGCGGTTTCGAGGAGCGGTTGTCCAAGCAACGGGAAGAGCTGTCTGCGGAGAAAAAGGCCCGGGTGGCGGTCGAACGTGAGCGGGACAGTATGCAAAAGAAGCTTCGGCAAGCAGAAGAGATCGGGAGGACGTTATTGGAGGAACAAGAGTCGCTTCAGAAGGGGATAGACGCCCTCAAGCTGGAGAAGGCCACCCTCCAAGAGGGTCGCAAGGCGGAGTTGGCCGCCGCTCGAGCTGAGGCGGGTTCGGCCTATCTGCAGTCCGCGGAGTTCCAGGCCCTTGATGGGGAGAAGTACAAAAATATAGTGGGAGATGTTGTGGCCGCGATCCGTCATTTGTTCCGCAGCGACCAACCGGATGCAGTTTGGGATACTGACAAGGTTTGGGACGCGATTGGGGCTTGGACGGATGCTGATGTGAACTCCGAGGCGGACGATGAAGGTGATGAAGAAGCCCGCGATGAGGAGGAGTAGGATAGGGAGCGGTCTCCAGCTGTCTGATGCTTTGTTTCATTCGGACCGCCAGGCGGTTGATGTTTTGTATTTGTGACTTGTGGATTTCCGGACCGCTCGATGTCCGTTATTTTGTGCGTGTTTTGCCCCCTACACAGTGATGGGGGTTTATGCTACTCTACGTGCGGCATCGCTATGCCTTGTGAACTTGTAGTGATTTCTTTGTAGCTTCGAGGGTTTGAACCGCTACTGCTTTGTGTATCCTTGACTTTTGCATGTTTGGCTCGCAGACTCAGTGATCGTGGCGCCTAATAGCTTGCCTTATTGTGAGTGCGGTTTCGCCAATGCTAGCGGTGAGAGTTTTGGTATGGGGCGGGTTACACCGCGGGGGTTTGCTCCCTTAAGTTTTGCTTTTATTGGAGCAAGTTCCAGCACCTCTGAGGGTCGTGCGCTGCTGGGGCGACCCTTTGGCAGCGTTGTATGTGATTTCTTCGTTAGTGGGTGCGTTCAGAGGGTAATTTGTTCCGTCGTGGTCTGTGGCCAGGTGTTAGCGAAAACATGAAAGGGAAGCGGCCACCTTCGCCTTTTCGCATAAGATGCGTTCTAAGATTGCATCCCGTCTGGACTCTTTCGCGTCTAGCCGCTCCAACAGCTTTCTGTCCGTGATCTTGGGTTTGTACGCTTGGGCGCGAAGGGCGGGGAGGTTCAGCTCTTCCGGGGCGACCGCATTAGAACCATATGTCAAGGCGAATTGAGTTTCACCCGTAGCGGTTTTATATGTCGCGCGATGCGCCCATAGGACATGCGGGATTTCGCTTGTCCCTGCCCCTTTCGTCTGCGGGTATGCCACGGAGGCCATCGCGTATGCCATGCGGTTTCTGGCGCAGAAGTTTTCGAATGGTCGACCGTCGAATTGGGTGGTGGAGAGTGTTGTTTTCTCGAACGGTCGTTTGACACATTTCGCGTTATTCTTTTAAACCTTTCGAAAGGTGTTTCTCCTTTGAGCCTGTCGGGAGGCGTGAGAGCCTGTCGGAAGACATTTTTCCGTTAGGCCTGTCAGAATGCGTTTTTCTTCAAGCTTACCCGGAGGCGTGTGGGCTTGTCGGCACTAGAAGGTGGAATATTCCCGTGGTGGGAGTGTCGCTCGTCGACTTTGACATTTTCGTGAAGAGAGCGCTCGATGGGAGCGTCTTTTGATCCCATAGTCTTTTGGCTTCTAAGAAGCGTGTGAGTCACTGACCGCATAGTCTTTTGGCTTCTAAGAAGCGTGTGAGTCATCAGCTTCTTGGGCGGATATGAGGTACTTCAGACTGTGTCTGAGTAGCACTTTCTCAGGCGCCTGTCATTCCGTGTTTGTGGAGACTGGGACGCCCTCCATGGTTGCATTACGCTTGTCGCGGTTTTACCTTTCATGTTTGAGCACGGAGGGAGGGTAAGTTTACTTCGTCTGGGGCGACCGTTTTGGTGCCGTATGTCAGAGCGAAGGGGGTATCTCCCGTGGCCGTCTTGTAGGTCGTGTGATGCGACCATAGGACGTGTAGGAGCTCAGTCATCCTTGCCCCTTAAGCGCCTCGGAGACGCTCGTTTGAGGGTATATCACTGATGCTTTGGTGTCCATGGCGTGGTTTAGCGCGCGAGGATTAGTCTGCTATCCTTTCAAGCTTCTCGGGAGGTGCCTCCTCTTTGAGCTTGTTGGGAGGTATGTGAGCCTGTTGGAAGGCGTTTTCCTTAGATCCTGTCGGGAGGCGTTTCTCCTCCAGCTTATTAGGGGGTGTGTGAGCCTATCGACAGGTGTTTTGATGATGGCGATATGCTTGTGAAAAGCGAGATTGGGCTTTTCGCCTTAGCGGAAGATGCATTCCCGTGAGATAAGCATCTCATGGAGGCGAAATATACTCGACGAGAGTGTCGTTGTGAGGTGGAACATTCCCCGAAGGGTGCGTCGCCGGGAGGCGATTTTCGGGCCTTGCCCGGAGGTGGAAGGCACGAATCGTGCCTAGAGGGAGGATCGCTCATCGGCGAAATCATCGCTTAAAGGGAGTATCGCTCGGGGGCGGTTTTTGGGCCTCGCCCCGAAGGTGGAAGGCGTGAATCGTTCCCGGAGGGAGCATCGCTCAAAGGGAGTATCGCTCGGGGGCGGTTTTTGGGCCTTGCCCCGAAGGCGGAAGGCGTGAATCGTTCCCGGAGGGAGCATCGCTCAAAGGGAGTATCGCTCGGGGGCGGTTTTTGGGCCTTGCCCCGAAGGCGGAAGGCGTGAATCGTTCCCGGAGGGAGCATCGCTCGTAGGCGGAAACCATTCTCCGAAAGGAGCATTGCTCGGAGGCGAATTTTGGACCGTGCCCAGGGGCTTGAAGCATTGCACTTGAGACATGTTTTTGTACAAAATATTTGCCTTTGTGATTTGTCGTAGGAAAAGTAAGAGTCAAATTCCGAGCGCTACAGATCATATGTACATGACCTCACTGTAGCATACTGGCGAGCGCCGTTCATATTATCGAGTTAGGACTCGCATCCGAATCCTGGTATAGGGATGGAGGGGGTTCACGTTGTTGACTTGGAGAGGGTTATGCTGTACCCGCCCAATGAGCCTCTACGTGGGCGTCGTTGGCTAGGCGGGCCGTGATTGTATGCGAGACCACGTTCTCGTAGGAGGTTGCGATTCTGGACATAAATATTGGGTTCCACCTGGTATGAGGTGCGCCTAGTGGGACAGGTTTACTGAAGGCAAGTCTTATTTTCAGCCTATCGGGAGGCGCCTCTTTTTTCAGCCTATCGGGAGGCCTGTCTTCTTTTAGCCTATCGGGAGGCGTTTCTTCCTTTCAGCCTATGAGAATGCGCTTCTTCCTGGTCTGTCGAGAGGCATTCTGTCTTTCAGCCTTCTGGGAGGCGTTTATCTCTTGGCTTTGCTGGAAGCGCTTTGGGGTCTTTGAACAAATAGAGAGCTTAGCCTAGGAGGCATGAAATATGATTAGTATGCGGTTCCACGTTCAGAGTGGCCATGGAAGACGCGGGTGATGACGCAGATGGGTATGATACACGCGACCAGACTCATCTTGTGTCGACGCACCGCCATGTGGGAGACGGGGGTCGGGTGGTGTCTTCGGATGCGTTTGCGCGGGCTTGCGTCTTAAGGCAGGCCGGACGATTTGCACGGTTGGCGGACTTCGAGTTGAGGACTTGGAGTGCGGGCCGGACAGAGGTGGGCCCATGTGATGCGGGACTGGACCCTTGGCGTGCATAATGTACCGAGCGTGATGGACCGCATTGGAATCTTGGATGCGGTGCGTTGGTGATGCCAGGTTAGACGCACACATGAGATTTGATGCGAGGCGACCCAAGTCTTCAGTGATAACGTTGAGTGGGCTCGGAGGTGCCATAGGCCGAATGGATGCTCGGGCGGCCCAGTTGGAGGGTTGGAGGCGTGTACGTGGTTGTAGTCTTCTAGTCGAGGGCGCTTCCTGCAAATGGCTTCAAATGTCGAATGTTGCCAATAGCAGACACAAAGCAGATTTATAGTGTAATGACATGATCGGACTTTCGTTTCAAGTGGAAACGTCTTCGCGATGATAATATCGCACGGAGGGGGAACGTAGCATGGTGGTGATGATCATCTTGTACTTGGCTGGATGAGGGTTTGAGGTTTTGCGGATGGGGTCCTCCTTTATTTTTGCAATGCGACAATTGAGAGCTTCATGGGTCGTGTATGGCGTGTTGCCAAGCTTCGCTCGTTGTAGGCCATGGTTGATTGTGGACCGGGATGCGGCCCATTATATGCTCGGACTACCGACTGGGATTGAGGTTGGAGCTCGACGCGAGGTTGCAGCTTGGACTTGGCAGACGGGTCTTGTGATAGGACTGGATGCGGATTGGGCCGCACGGAGGTCTCGGCTCAGATGGTCTTGGAAGCTGAACGCTTTGTAGGTGATGGATTTGAGAGGTAGGCCGCCTTGAGACATAATGCGGGCTTAGCGGCTTTGGGAAGGCGCGCGGAATGGAATGGGCTTTGGAGGCAGCCTTTCGCGCAAGTTCGAGGCGTGAAGATGTCACTTCTGCTGGGGGGCGGTATCATGTTAGCTATACTGATGGCGCGTCCGCGGGGAGGCGGTTTCAGGCTTCTTACTTGCGAGTCCGCACGATGCGGTTTTGCCCCTTGTGCGACCATTGCTCGGTGATGGATGCCCCTGGTGATGGACGCCTCCCGATGGTTGAGACGCCTCTCGGTGATGGACGCCTCCGGGTGATAGGATGTCTCCCGGTGATGGGCGCCCACGAGTGGACTGGACCCTTGCGGGTCCAAACGAGGCGGTTTGCCCCTTGTGCGACCATCGTCTTTGCTTCTTCGCTTAGCATTCGATGTCTTGAGTTAGAGCTCTCAAGTCGTTTGAGATTTCCCCACTAGCCCATTGCTGAGCGTTCTAATATGTAGACCGTAACTGTGAGCTGTGTGCGTTAAGCTGTGTGCGGTTTGCGTGGAGGGATAGCATGCGTGAAATAAGCATATCATGCGTGAAATATGTCATAGCACGGGATGTAGATCATGTGATGCGGTTTTACATCTGCGAAGGATGTGAGAGACAAACATAAGCATAGCATGCGTGAAATATGTCATAGCATGGGATGTAGTGAGAAAACATCATTGTGTGCTATTGGGAGCGGTCTGCATGGCATAGTATTTGAATATATCTTAGAAGGGAGTACTTAGCTTGAGAATAAGCGGTAGAAGACAGCTGGGAAGCGGTTTGAGTGAGATGGGTCGCTTTCTGATCCTCAAGGCGGTTTTGTGGCAGACTGGTAATTGCCCCTGCCTATGAGAGTTGGGTTAGGTGTTTGAGTATGGTGCACGTGTTTCTCTTCTTCTTTTCGTAAGTAGATGCCTCCAGTCTTCTAGTGGCGTGATGGGCTTGCCTTTTGGACTTTCGGACGAAGGGGTCCGCGTGCGAGACGGATCGCGTTGATGAGGGAGGCGACCCATCGACGAGGGGTAGGATCGCCTTGGAGAATCGGATGTGGAGCGAGGCGGTCCCGGTCTTGCATCCGTTCGGAGGTGGAGCGAGGCGGTCCCAGCCTTGGGCTCCTGGCATGTTGGAGACGAGCCTGCAGCTGGGCCGTGTTCGGTTCCTGCGCTGGATCTTGAAAAAATAGCTAAAAGGCGGTTGCCCCTAGTGACATGAGTAGATGTTGTCGCCAGCCAGTTGGCGTTCTTGTATCCTAATTAATGCGGGTTCGAATCTTGGCCAGGGAATTCCTTGTTTTTTATTTCGTTAAGAATGAAGTCTGCTCAACTAAATGAGTAGCGCCTCGGACTCCACTGTGGGCTTCCTTCACAGGGCGGGTGGTGGACGGATGTGAGCCTGGT